AAAAAAGAAAAAAAAGCTGTAAAGCAGTGGAATTTGTTTCTTTTTTTCTTTTTTAACTTAAGACAGGGTCTCACTATGTAGTTCAGGGTGGCCTTTAACTCACTATGCAGGCCAGGATGCCCTTGAACTGGAGTGCTGGGATGACAGGTATGCACCACCACACCTGGCCTGGAACTTGTTTCTTACTGTTCATTACTCTACAATGGCTGTCTGTGTGGTAAAGAGATAAAAAAAAAAAAAAATTTTGGTTTTTAAATGGATTTTCCTGGGGTAAAAAAAGCAAGCAGAAAAGATACAGATAAAAAGCCCTTTAAAAAGATGTTATCAGGGAAACAAGCAAAGCACTGCAGAAATTCAAGCAAACGGGAAATGACTAGATTCTCCACAATGTGATTGGTTCTTCATACCAAAAAAGTTAACTCAGACACTCTAGGGAGAGTGGGGAAAGGGTGCCCAGTTAAAAGAACATCTATCATCATGCCTACTGTTTGGATTTAGATGTAATCTAATATACCATGCATAGCCTGCAGACAGAAAATACTTCAGGGGAAGGTCACATGCAGTCAGGTTTCTGGGTGGAAAGGAAATGGGTGTATAGCAGAGAGGCTTACACTTGAAGAAGGGTGGAGGACTTACAAGTAGATCACTGAGACTTATCTTCTGCATCCCCTTAGAAGTTCCACTCCAAGAAGATAGACCTTAGACTACGTGTGCAGGTTTCCCCAGAGCCTGGCATAGTGCCTGGCACTAAACAGGCACTGAAATGGGCGCCGATGAGTGCTGTTCCAATTTCACCTAATCTTTACTGAAAAGGATGGTTCAAAGTGAAAGCAATACATTTCTGTTCTGAAGAAACTGGTACTGAAAAAGACTTAAGCCATACTCTGCCATACTGAGACATCTAAGAATCTTTACAATGACGTAAGTTATAAATGAAAAAAAAAAAATCATCAAATCAATAGAAACAGTATTTACCAAACTGGAAAACAATGTCATTAAGATTTTAAAAATCAGAATCAAACCAAAAGGCAAGAAATTAGTCTAGCACCTGCCTGGCAAGCATGAGGTCCTGAATTTGATTCCGGGTACCAAAAAGGAAGGAAGGGAGGAAGAGAGGGAGGGAGGGAGGGAAGGAGATAGGGAGGGAAGGAAAAAAGAAAGGAAGGAAGGGAGGGAAGGAAGGAAGGAAGGAGGGAGGGAAGGAGGGAAGGAGGGAAGAAAAAAGGAAGGAATTAGTCTAATCCACCAGCCATGAGTATTGAGGCTACGGACACATCACTACCATTATAGAAGAGACAGTATACTTACTCTCTGGCTGGAAAATGAACCCATACGTCCAGACTATCAGTAGGGTCCACAGGACACTCCATGCAATCAGCTGCCAAGGTTCATATTTGGTGCAATATCCATTTACATAATTCTTGGCTTTTGTTGAATACGCTTCCAAAATCTCAAAGTAAGGCTCAAAGGCCTTCTAGAAATACAAAAGAAAACCAGAAACATTACATTCAGGGAAAGAAAGTGTGTGTTTAGTTTGTTCACCAATTCTGATAAGGCCACACCTCAACAATAATCTTATCCCTCTCTACAGTAGGGCATCTGTGACAGTCACTCTGGGATAACACTGCCATTTATGAGCCATGTAGACTTTGACTTGATTTTTGATCTTGTTTTGTGAAATAAGGCTAAGCTTGATCATAATGTCAACCCTAGGCCTTTTATGACTGCCAGTACTCTGACCCTTCTCTTAACTCAAACTAACCCTCCCAATATGAGTATCATTTCTCTCCTCTACTTTACTTGAATCTTTCCCACTCTCTAACTGAGCAGTGGGCAGAATGGTTCTGAAAAGAGTCAGACAGTGAATATTTTAGATACTGTGAACCAACTATTCTGTTACAGCTACTCATCTCTACGACTGTAGCTTAAACACAATGTGTACTGAACATAAAACTGGCAAAGTGGCTGACAGTGCCTACGTAAATGAGTAAATGCATCAATCAGAAAGCTGAGGCTGGAAGGACATTGTCTGATTCCACGCTAAACATAAACTTCAAAAAGCATGAAGAGTAGAAGAATACACTGATAGGAACTTTACATAAAGAAACACGTTGCCATCTATTAATGTTTTAATGCATATTCATTTTTATACCCCAAATTCCACTTTTTAATGTATATTCATTTTCACCCCCAAAATTCCACTTTCCACTATCTACCTGCTTGGGCATGTACACAAAGTAATGCATTCAAGGATGTTCATTTCAGCATTCCTTGTAACTGCTGAAGAAAAATATAATAAACATCCCAGGAGGAAGGTGGGTGTGGTGGCGCACGCCTGTAATCCCAGCACTCGGAGCTTACTGCAAGTTCAAAGCCAGCCAAGACGACAAAGTGAACTCAAGGTCAGCCTGAACTGCATAGCAAGACCTTGTCTCAAAAAAACGAAACAAAAAAAAAAACCCAAACATCCCAAGAGGAATGGTGAAACTGTAATACAAATATTTTATGTATCCAGATTATGAAACAATAAAAAGACAGGTCTTTTACATGGAAAATTTCCCTGAACATAGTATCGAGCAAAATGAAACACACTGCAGAACAATAAAATAAAACACATGGATTGTTAGGCATAAGAGTAATTTTTTAAGAAGATAATTTGGTGGGACATGAGTTATGGGAAGACAGAAACTGGAGGCAAAAATTTTAATTAAAGAAACTGCTGAAAGTCCTGGGGAGAAATAAACTGGGTTCAACCTTAAGCAGTATGACCCTGGGGACAAAAAAAGACAGCAGGGATTTGGAAGACATTTCTGGTAGTGAAATAAGTAGGATTTGGCAATTTATTACTAATGGCAAGTATGTAATCGGAAGAATACAGATAATACCAAATTTTCTAGTTTAAGTTGAGAGACTGGTTAAGTGACAGCACCATGACTCTGGTAAGACTAGAAAAGAAAGAGAAGCTGAAGAAGGCTGAAGAATTTTTGAGAAAAAAATAACAGTAATGGTTTGAGTTACGTTCCTGCTAGACACACTAGACGCTAACAGTAAAAGTGTGAAAGCTTAAGAGGACACGTACTAACGTGTTTCCTGAAAACTCTTCCCCCCATGGTTATGTGCGCCTACAGTGAAATCTACCACTGAGGGTATCGATGGGTGGTGGATGGTATTGAGATGGGAGCTTTGGGAGCTGATTAGACATAAAGGCAGAGCTCTCGTGATTAGGATCAGTGCCCATGTAAAAAAGACTCCAGGGAGCTAATTCTCCCACCTTCCTCCATCACCATACTTGTTGGTGCCATTCCCAAGAGCCCACTGTTGCTATCAACAACCTCAATGCTCCAAAGCAGTGGCAGTACTGTTCCAAACCTGGGAGAAACCAGGGAAGTCTGTCATCATCAAAGGTATGTGAGATTTCCCTCATCACAAAGAACAGTCTAGTGGTAAAGCTGTGACCAAACCATATGGGTAGATAATATGTACAAACAGTCACTGAGATCAGCTTTTCTTTTGGTACTAACTCCTAACTCACCCAGAAATTAGAGGCTACCAGTATGAAAAGATGAATAGATATCATCAACTCTTTCCAGCATTGAAAAATAAAGTAATAGAACTAGCATTAGGGAGAAAGCAAAGAGTAAATACCAAATAATTTTACTACAGCATTAAAATTCAAATATGAAGACATTCCTCACTAACATTTTAAAATAAATTCATAGAACACATTTCCTTGGTAATTGTTTTGATCTTCAAAATACTGGGAATCCTTGAATTCAAAAAGGACACTTTTGAGAGAAGATGTATGTATAAAATCTAACTCCAAAGATAAAATGGTTCTATAGCAAGTTTTTTAAGTAGGTAGCCAGATGAACACAGAAATTACATCTCTTGGCATCATGGTAAAGTCCTCCTACGTTACTACAAACAACCTATGCAGTCCCCAATGAAGAAGCACCTCACAACACTGGCAGCTCACTGCAGAATCAGGCTCTGTGGGGTTATGTAGCCTATCTCCTTGGGAGAAAAAAAAGATGAAGTAGCTCCTTTGGACCTTGAAAACAACACAAACCCCAGGTGGGGTCCTGATGCAATACTCCAGCCCTGAGGAAGCACACAATCTAGAAGATGAAGGGGACCTTAGCGATTGAATGCAAAATTCTCACCCTCCAAGCAGAGGCTACAGAAGGAGATGATACATCTAAGCTCTTACAGACAGGTCTGTGCCTGAGCAAAGCCTACAGATCCAAGCCTCCTGACACAGTACTAGTTAACTCTTTCAATTCTTGATTCTCAGTGTCCCTAGGCACAGATCACCTATCATGTTATTATAGATAGCTAAGTTAGCTGGTATATTATAGGCAGTCAGATAGGGCTGGGCCCTCAAGAAGTCAGTGTAAAAGATAACTGCATCTTTCAAGAAAAATTGGAACTACTCACACATATACTCCCCCTAAGGATGAACAGCAGTGACTGATATTCTAAACAGACATCACCTTGGGGTGGAGGACCAAACCTCCTTAACCTACCCTCTTCCAGAAAAGTCCTTTTCCATCCCAGGTGCATTTGCCACATGGCTTGCTTCCCCATTTGATCCTCGTTTAATCAATATTACCAAGATACTACATTTGTTGTAATTTTATTGGTTGACCATAGTTTTATTCCACCTCACACTCATCTTATGATTTTCCACTGGACCAATATTACCTAAGTAATAGTTGTAATTACTTGTAACTACTTGTAATCTTATTGATTGATTATAGTTCTGCCCCACCTCAAACCTGCTTCACCTTGTAGGTTTGCTCAATAAACACCCTTGAGAAGTAGGGTTGATTGGCAACCCACTTTCTGGGGCCCCTTCTATCCCTCCTAAACAGAAGCTTTCTTTCTCTCAAGAAATTCTTCCCACTTTTAACCTCCACTGTTCCTACAATTTGTTCCTACAATTCATTCCTCAATTTTAGAGAACACGAAATCAGCATTTGGACATCTAGCATGTTGGGAATTGCATTTCCCCTATATCGACGTTATAAGCCAGGGGTCTCCCAAGTTTTCTTTGCACAATTTAATTTATGTTCTTGGGCACATGGTGCCGTTTCCAACAAATTAAACTTGGGCAGCTAGATCATGACTACAGATAAACATCTACATGGAGATGGCACAAAAACTTAACATAATCACCATTTCCCCACAACAGCAACAGTGCTATTGTACACAGTACACAGTAAGCTTAAATTTGTATGATCAAACTCAAACCTAAGACAGCAATTTTAAGATAAAATAATTACAGGATTGTTTGCTTTTCACAGCTTTGTTTCATAAGTAGCAAGTTTCTACCTCCTCCCCTGAGGCATCTCTCCCACTTAAACTGTGCAAGACACAGTAGCAGTGGCCTGAAGCTGCAGAGGACAAAGGCTAGTCATTTTGACTGGACTCTGCCAACACTGGTACTCTTAGGACAAGCTCAAGGATGCATCACATCACAGGCGATAAGAGCTGATCTGCCCTTTGCAGATAAAGGTATTAAGGTCCAAAGGTCACACACCTCAAAAATAACAGAGAAAGGACTGAAACGTTCTGGTCGGAATGCACTGTTTTTCCCACTGCTCTATTTTCCAGAAATAACCTATTCGTGGTACATATCAGAGAACAGGTCCAAAACTGCCAAGTCTCACAGTCCTTTCTACTTTACCCCAAGAGCCAAATTAAGGGCCCATAGCTCCACTACTCTTCCAATCAAGAAAGACAAGGTGGCTGGGTCTGGTGGCACAGGTCTGTAATCCCAGCATACAGGAGGCTGAGGCAGGAGGATCACCATGAGTTTGAGGCCACCTGGGGTACACAATGAGTTGAAGCCCAGCCTGAACTACAGAGCAAGACCTTGTCTCAAAAAGAAAACAAAAAAAAAAGAAAAAAAGACAACATTGCCAAAGATCTGAACAGCATCTTGCAAAGGGGTGTGGGTGGCCACTAAATGGCTTTTCTTAAACTGTAAGCTTCATTGTCCTCTCAACTAGTGACTTTCACTCTATTTGTTTGATTCCAAAAGAAACACTAAAAAATTAGGAAACTACTAAAAAATGTACTTTGAGAAGTGCTTTGGAAGTGTCTTAAAACCCTAAAATGTTACTGCTTGACAGAACCTCAGAGTCCAATCTCATTTGAATAATAAAGAAACTAAGGCTCAAAGACTAATACCAAACTATGCCTTCCCTGGGCTCAAACTAAAGGGAAAGTCCACATTAGAAGCTACTTTCTTAGTGGGCATGATGGCACGTGCCTTTAATCCCGGCATTCTGGGATACTCAAGTAGGAAGACTGCAAATTTAGGCCTAGTCTGGGCAATTTACCAAGATCCTTCTCAAAAATTTTTTAAGAAGAGTGAAGGATATAGCTCAGTGCAAAGGCTGTGAGTTTAATCTCTAGGATACTTCAAAAAGAAAGAAAGAAACCAATGCCCAATCATAAGTGCAAAAG